TCTCATTTTGTGTAACATTTTTCGTTGAAGTAATAAATTTGTATTATTCCCCATTTTACAATCAATGATTTATAACATTAATGATTCAATAGTTTAATGATGGGGCGATATGTACGAGATCAGCCTTTCCTATTAACAGCTATGTGAAAAAATCACGTAGTCATTATTTAAAATTATTTGTTGTGGTAAAGAATTTCGTGTATTTCTCTTGAACAGCCTTGAGTGTTTGTAATAACAATATGAATTAAAATTTAAAGCTGACTCTATATATTATTTTTTTCTTTCCTCTTTCTTTCTTTTTTATTTTTTTAATTGTTGTGTCTTCGATGTGAACCTGAATCCAAGAGTAGTTCGTAAAACTTACGCGTAGCCAGTCATTGAATTCAATTTTCTGCTCAAGGCGCGAAAATTAGAGTCTGTACAAAAATAAATCATCAGTTTAATTAAATAATAACATTATTTTATCATCAGCAGATTTTCACAATGTATTCTTTATTTGTTTTTGAAGTCACAGATATTTTTATTCTAACTTTCTATTGAAATTTAGATTCAGTAAACAGAAAAATAACCGCGCTAGTGGGTATCTTCTGGGAAAGGTTTCTCTTTAAAGTAGGGACCTCCGGTTTTTTGACATAAATTTTCGATACCTAAGGTTTAAAATTAAATTTTAAAAATGAAAAATCTTTCTTGAAGATTTCATTTTAGCGTTAATTGAAAGTTTAATAATTAGATTTATTATTTCCATTAAGTAAAATATTCTGGAGTATTTCAGATATAAATTATATAGATTGGAATGCCAAATTTAATTTTGATTTCTTAAATTTTTCTTAAAAGTGGCCATTTTCTTAATTTTAAGAAATTTGTAAACAAAACAAGTTTTTCTCTTTTAAAATTCTTTCAAAAAATAAATATATATTTCTGACACGTTATTTTAGTAAAATTAGAAAATTTAAAGTTAAATTAATCTGATTTGAAATAAATATTACTTACTTATAACAAAAAAAAATAATATACAACCAATTATTAACGATTGGTCCTGTTCATCTGATCCAACGTTTGATGGATTGTCGATAGACGAAGCGATGACAGACACTATGGATGACCCAATTGTCAGAAATCTAAGTGAACGCATATTTTTAGTTTTTAACTACCTAGTAAGTTTTAAAAATGAACATATATTCCGCAATTATTTAATATTTTATTGACTTTTATTTACCTTTTGAAGATGCAAAAATAAAAAAAATTAAAATACTATGAAATTTTCTTCAATTAATTTTATAATTTAATAACAAACGAAATACCATGAATACTAAATTGAAGTATATCCCCCACTAATGTAAATACATATAAAAATATTTAGAGAAATAGTAATTGAAAAAAGTAAAACTTAGTTTAAGTTTTAAACTTTTAAAGCTGGATAGAAATTTTGAAAACCTGTTGAAACGACATAATAAAGGGACAAAACTTTTAGATCATAATAATGGCAATTTCAGTCTACCGTACATAAAAATAATGAACGTATTAAGTAAAACAATAAAAAATAAAAAAATATTTTAAAAATAGAATAGCACAACTAAGTTGATTAATCTTTTCAATTTTGGATTTGTAAATTTTGTTTCCATTTAATTACTATATCACATCCAGGAAATAGCCCAATACAGAATTTTACACGATGTTAAACTATTATAAATTATTATAATAAAATTTTTTTTAAAAAATGAAAAAATTCTTGTAAAACTTCATTATTCATCAGAAAAATTTTATTTCTTCAGACAATATTGTCCTTAATATTACTTATTTACAAAAGCAATTAAAAGCTTTTCTAATTAAGTAATGTCATAGTGTTATTGGAATCATTATTTTTCAATTCAGAGCAGATTTTCAATTAGATAGCTCAAATTTGAAAAAAAAAATGTAGGTGATTTACAATCTCCAAAGACTCCTACTTTTAACAAAAATAAATTCAGGAAATAGAAAGTTTTTGTGCGAAATTTCATGAAATTAAGTAAGTAATGCTTTAAAAAAAATTATTTTTTACCAAAATTTTCTAAAAACACATTTCAAAAATAATTTCATTCATTTGTGAATAAGTCCTGAAAATTTAATTAAAATCGGACAATTACTTGATTTTTACAAGAATTTCAAAATCAATGTGTTTTCAACGGAAAAAAGCGCAAAAAAATGTTATTTTCATGTCACCGCGATGACGTAAACAAAGAAGATTTAACCAAAATTTCGAACGTGTTAGAAAGGATTAAAAAAATACAAAAAATAATTAAAAATACTTTGGTCTTTCCTCTTAATAATAACATAAACATTTTGACGATAAAACTTTATTTTCGTTAAATCTGTGGCCTTTTTTCATTACGCTATCTGTTTTCCTGCGAAAAACTGGAGGAGCCTACTTTAAAGGATTTCTACAAGGTGAGTTTCATTCGGTATGAAATTTTATAAATGACAGATCCTTTTCTAAGAAAGAAAGAAAATAATTTCATAAATTATTATTTTCCTTCTTTCTTAGGGAAAATCATCCAATGATTTTACCCTTTAATAAATAGATGCTATAAGTATATAAGTCTCGAGCCTTGTAGACAACGTACAACGGAGCGTAAGTAGCATCCTTGTATGTTCATTGGCACTCAGGCATTAACCTGTGGGTAAAACTGTATTTTCTCATTTTATAAATGTTTCGTAGAGGTAATAAATTCTTATAATACCACGTTTTCTAGCAATGATTCATAACTTTATTCATTCGTTATTTTAATGTGGGGACGTTATTTACTAGGCCAAAATCTTTCCCCGTTTAAACCATTCTCAGTAGCAACTGATTAGTTAATTAGCAGATTGTCCTAATACACAACTCATTCTCTGACAGTTACTTCTCATTAATAATGCGTCTGTCATTTGTTTTCCAATAATTATTCTTTTTTTCTAATCCGGTATTGAAAATGAACTCGGTGAACAGAGTTCAAATTCCAGTATAGTTTGTCGCGTTCACATTCGCACAAATTCCATGGGGGGGGGGATATAAAAATATCTTTTTATCCCAGCAGGGTAGAATACGCTGGATAGCTTTGTGTGGCTGAAATCCCAAAAGATAGAAAACACTGAATTCTCTCTAGGGTTAAGGCAACAGGAACCGACGCCATTATCTTTCCAAATGAATCATGGCAATTCAGAGATAAAAAAAGAAAAGGAATATGTGGAGAGCCACGATCTCCTACATCTTGAAAAGAGAAAGGATACTCTAAATTGTGGATGAGGAACGGAAAACAACACTATCTTTACCAAGATGTCATGGCAATTCAGAGATAATAAAGAAAAGGAATATGTGGATAGCCATTATCGTTTGTATCCAGAAGAGAGGAATGATATTCTGAATTCCAATCTGTGGAGAAGGCAACAGGAAATGATTCCACTATCGTTCCAAATAAATGATAGCACTTCCTGGATAACAAAGAAAAAATATGGGGTGCCTGCTCACCTACATGCTGGATGGAAAAAGTGTAATTCTGTATTTCAACCTGTGCAGAAGGCAACAAGAAACCATTCAACTATCTTTCCAAATCAATCATGGCAATTCACAGAGAACAAAGTAAAGGAATCTATGGAGAGCCATGATAGTCTATGTCTTCAAAGTATATAGCATTAAAAAAATAAATCACATATGATACACTTGATTCCTATCTATAACCAGAAACCATTTTATCTATATCGTCTTCCTTGTTTAATAGTAAATAGTAGTAATGGTTGGGCCCTCGTATCCTAGTATGTGTGTACATGTGTATTTGTTCAGGACTGAGAGAACCCACGTGGTTTCTACTACAACTATGCTGAGCGGACCGTGATCAACAGCTTGAACATTTCCAGTACACTCAAACTCTCGGTCACGATGACTGGCACAACCATTGACAGCTCTCAAACAGTTCCGTCTACCAAATTTCGCTCAAAAACGTTGAGCCAACCTGTGGTCCGGCTTTCCAGAACTTTCCAAAGGTGCTGCGCGCTGTCATCGCCGACCCGGGTCGATAAGTCATGATAAATCGTTCCTTGATGGGATTCGAACCCGGGTCTTATGGTCAAAAAGCAGACGTTCTAACAACTCATCCATCATGAAATATAACGCTTGAAATAACAAGAAAATATGTCGGGTTAAATACTTTCACGATAAATAAAACTAGATTTTGAAAAATGAAATATTTATTGTGTAATATAAACTTCCTTTTTATTAGAATAGTACAATTGTAACTCACTATACTTGTATGAATATGCATGGTGAATTTGTTATAATCAAGTTATGATTAGCTGGGCGCCATGTAAAGATAAGAGAAGGCAATTTCTAAAATTTATTAACTCCGTAATTGCTGTACAATGAATTGATGAAACCTTGCACTAAAGTATTTTCTTAGGAATTGGTTTTATTTATAATCCAACATTTTTTCTTATTCGTCTAAAAGCTATAATTAATGGATACACGTATTTGAATAGGCATCCCTCTTTCATTTTTTTTTTATTTTTATAACTTTACCCCCTACCGGCTTGTTCATTCGAGTTGTAATAAAGAAAATGCGCCTTCCGACAGTGTTCGAATCACGACATACGTTCGATCCCTACCGGAAGGTGCTTTTCCTTATCCATGTATCTGCTGGTGGTTGACCGCTCGTATCTGAGCATGCCTATCTACTAGTGCGACTGACCAATACCTGTTGCAGACGCCTGCCCAGGCACATTTGCATTTGTTCAACACCACGTGGTTTATACTGCAACTATGCTGAGGGGGACCTTAGATACAGTCTCTGGGCAGAGAGCGCTTTATCTGACGTGATCAACAGACTGAACAAGGCCAATACAAGGCTAGCTCAACCACCAACGGCTCCAAAATAGTTCCATCTACCAAATTTCACTCACAAGACTTAGGTCAACATTATGTCTCACGCTGGTATCGCCTCTAAGATCAAGAAGTCACCCTGACAAATCGAGCATTCGAACCCGGTTCTAGCTTACGGCGACATCACGTTGAAACGCCCGTTCCCTTACGATCACCAAGGTTAAGCAACGTCGAACCTGGTCAGTACCTAGATGGGTGACTGCTTGGGCATACCAGGTGCTATAAGCTTGGATGTGCGGGTGGTGCAGTGGATAATGACTCGGAATTGTTAATCGGAGTGCCGAGTTTCAATTCGGTCCGTTATATTCGCTTATGCGCAAATACACTTTGGAAAGGTATGACTCTACCTCTTCGCCCCCCAACTATGGATTAATTAGTAAGACTTGCATCACTAAATCCTTATTATCGCAAAAAACATTTTTACAATGAAAAAATATTTTCTGGCTTTAAATAACCTGGAAAGTGTTGATAAGCCGTAAAAAACGAATCAATAAAAATAAAAAAAAGAACCCGGGTCTCATGGTTAGAAAGCGAACGTTCCAATCACTTGGCTGGGAGGGATATTCTAATTCTTTATCACTTTCCGTCTGGTCAGAAGATTTCTTTAAGTTAAACGAAATATTTGTAAAATAGATGAGCAAATTTTAACCCTTGCTTTTACTATGCCTGCATTTTTCAGCATTTTTCAGCATTTTTACAGCTGGTATCGAATCAGCTGTTCTACTTGGTTTATTTAAAACGTGTTCTATTGAAGCTCCCCACCACCACTGTTTAATTCTAACAAAAATAATCTTATTTAATTTTAAATAAAGTCGACGTAATTATTACACATAGCTATTAATGAGGTGGAGTGATATCGTAGATACCCCCACACCATTAAAGTAATGAATCAATAATGTTATGAATCATTGATAGTAAAAATTTGGATAATTCTCGTTCTTTACAAGAAGACGCTATCTCCGCCTGCGGCAAATTGTGCAATTCACGTGTTTTAATAATTTTCGTCATGTTGAGTTTTTACACCATAACCATCGCTATGAGTGGCCCAGGATCCTGCTGGAGTAGATAGTTTTTATCAAGTCACCACCTCTTGATAAATTATCAACCAAACACTAAAGAGCTTATCTCTGCCCATTAGCACAACGATCGACGGTTTCAGAATAATTTCATCCGCTCACATTCACTAACAATGTATGGGCCAACCGGTGGTGAAGTTTTCAGGCACTTCCCAACAGTTCTACACTCTGGGATCGTCTCCCAAGAACGATATTATAAAGAATTTAACCTCTTGAATACTTGACTACTGGTTTGCTTATCGACCAGTTCGCACTCCTCTCCGGTCTTTTTAACAGGAGTGGAGATTCATCCCTTGTTTCCTGTTTAGGATTGGGTTTTGATTCCTTCTAAATTCTACCTCAACTCCAACGTCTCCACCTAAACTCTGACATTTTATTTACTAATTATATCTTGACCTCTTCAAGTCTGGAATTAGCTGTCTAAATTTCCTATTATATTGCTTTTTCTTACTCTAATACATCTCTACACAGTAACCCACGACCTTGAGTGGCTCTTGAGCCATGTATTGGGTGAAAATTATTAGTTATTAGTTAAAAAAAAAAAACAAGAAATTCGAAAGCTGGGTTTTATGGTCAAAACGCTAACCTTATAAACATTCGGCCACGTGACCAATTTCCCAACCAAAGTGGGCGCTTAGTGGAATGGTTAGCGCGTTCATTATAAATTATCTTTAATATTCAATGGTTACAGCGTTTTTTTGTTGTTTTGGGGGTTTTGGGGGGTGTTGTTGTTGTTTTTTTTTTTGGGGGGGGGGTCTCGTTCAACTGTGTCCCACGCATAATAATCAAGAGGGTTACAGTCTGAGGGAGTTAGGTGGCCAGATGTAAGGGATGATGTGGTCGCAGAAATTGGCTGATAGCCATGACTGGATTCTCCTGTTTGTGTGGCATGGTGCAGAGTCTTGTCAGATATAGGATCTCCCAGCAGCTACCCTATTGAACAAGGGCAGCACTACCTCCTTGATATAGGCCTCCGTGTTGAGTCTGAGGCTCTGTGGGAAGATAAGTGGAGGCATAATGTCGCCATCACTAGGCATAACTCCAAACACCATGATTTTTTCTGGATGTATCATTCAGCTCTTTCCTAATCCTCTGCACTGTTCTCAGATTTCACCCAAACATACTGAAATGTTCGTATTGGTGTTTCTGGTGCGAATGCCAAGCAGTACAGGCTGCCATTTCCAAATTTCTGGCAGCGTGAATTGCATCATGGTGCTCCGTTTCTCACAGACGGTGCCCAACTGACCCTACTATACTGTGCAGTAGACAAAATCAAAAACAAACAACGCGCATGCGCGAAATTAAAAATATAAAATGACAACAATTTGCCCATCGCACTCTTTATAATTTATATAATTAAAGGAAAAGAAGAAAACGCAGTGGATTAATAATTAATATGGTCACCTTTAGCAAAATTCAGTTTTCCTGTCGTCTAATCATTGCTTCACTCAGCTTTTGGTAAAAAAAAATCAACTGAAGATAACAAGATGAAAATATAACTTCGTTTGCATATCAGACCTAATTAAATTTTATTACCATACGAAACCAAATTTAATGGAATGGCCTGTGATTTATAAATAAACATAAACCGATCGCATATACTCGAGTAGGGTGAGAGTTTTTATGGTCAGGTTTTTACGGGGCCGCACTATACACAAGTAATTTTGTGGTTTAAAATCATGAATTTTCGGATAACCGATTGCACTACACACAGATAATTTCTTTGAAGAGGTTAAAAATCAAGCATTTTCGGTAACCGGTTGCACTATACACAGGTATATACACAGTCACCATATATCATTTCTAGAGTTGGGTGGTTTCCATTACATTACATTACACCGCCTCAAGGTGCCCAGTCGCAAAGAAGTGTATGGTTAGTATTTTAATAATTATCCAAAAAGTATAATTGGTGCAAGCATAAATTAAAATTGGCTCTACGCGATGGTGCAACGCTTAGTAAGCTTATCTCGCAAACCTTTCCTAATGTTGTATGTTAGATTCTCAATAAATGCTTCATGCTGTGGCCTTAAGAAAAAGAAAACAAATATTTGTAGCTTAGTTTTGCACACAAGTAAACAACAATAAGGCAGACAGTAAGAATCGAACTCGCTGCTAATGATCGACAATAACTTTTACGTGTCATCACACTATAAGGAGGCGACTAGAGTCATTATTTACTAAGTTTAGCACCCACTGAGGATCGAACTCGCTATTAATGATCGACAATCCCGCTTGCGACCCATCACACCACGACGAGGAGGTAGAAGTTTTTATTAACTAAGCTTAGCTTAGTTTAGCACTCAGTGAGGATCGAACTCGAAATTTATGATCGCTAATCCCACCATGATGAAGCGTCGGAAGTTGCTATTTAGTAAGCTGAACTTATAGAACAATACTGCCGCAAGTCTAGTGAATCCAGTGAGAATTAGTAATCTTTAGACTAACTCGTAAAACTGACTAACTCATTAACCCATATAAACAAGAAAAGAAACCTATTTAGTGAGTTATAGATAGTCACGTATTTATCACTGACTCTAATTGTTTGTGTTCCCACCTAGGTAAGAGTTATCATACAGAATGATGATTTTTAAGACAAGATGACCCCCTCGCAGTTTTCCTATGTCCATTTTCTTTATATAGCCTTTTGCGTACTAAGCTACGTTACTATAAATTATGAAATTAAACTATATATATCTGTATAGCTCATTATTTTAAACAAATATTTGAAGTCAAGTAACGGGATTGAAACCCTCGTTAAAACATTATCTTTCCTTGAAAAAAAAAGTTATAATATTTGATCTGTTTGAATTTAGTTTATGACGATTTCCTTGTAGTGAGCTTGATACTATAAAGCCTCTTCTGTTTGACTATGAACCAAGAATATTAACAACCCATAATTGATATCCAATTGCTTGGACGATAATCCTTTTACTTCCGGGTGATGCTAAAGAGCTTTTTACCATCAAAGCGGTTTTCTAAACTAAGCAGCAGTTATACTGAATATTGGACTGAAATCTCTCTATTCAGTTCACTCGATAATAACGGCTGGTTGCTCGTCTCCGAGTTTTTCTGTCTACTAGGGCGGCTAGCCGATCTCTATTGCCGACGCATGCTCAGGCACATTTTCTGGTTTATGCTGCTACTATGCTGGGCGGAACTTAGTTACAGTTTCTGGGAGAGATCGCATTATTTGGCGTGACCAAGTCTGAACAAGGCCAATACGCGCAAACTCTCAGTCACGATGACTTGCGACTTTGTGCCAGTATAACTACCGACGTCTCCCAAACAGTTCTGTCTTCTAAGTTTCACTCACAATGCTTGGTAGGGTTTTCAAACCCTTTCCAAATGTTTCTCACGCTGGTGTCGCTTAGCCACAGGCCGATAACATAAAGAAGTCATCTTCCTGAACAAATCGACCCTGGTTAGATTCAAACGCGGTTCTCAGAAAGCAAACATTCTAACCACTCGATCACATGCCATAATTCGTGCCACTAATGTTCTTGGAAAATGCGTGGATTATTTTTTTATCCAGTAATTGGTTAAATGCCTGGCAATAAGTCTAAGAGAATGCCAACTATGAATTCAAGGCCTATCCTAAGACAGATGGAATTTCTCGGGCTATCTTCACTCTAGCAGACGGCATTTTTAGTTGAAATTGGTCACCAACTCATCTCTTTCCTCCCAAATGATTCCACAGCCGCTATTGCGTCATTTTTTCTACTTCAGGACAAAATACCATAATCTGCCAAAATGCCTGTTTAAACCATGAAATAATTTACAATTTGGCTCTAAGAACTTGATTCTCTTCAAGTCACAAGGGAAATATCAGAAACAATTTACGAAAATACCATTTGATAAATCTCTAGAATTGTTCGCACGGTAAACCGCTCTAGGGAAATGTTGCCCAAATCATTAGTGTGATTTGAATAAGTAAGATGGCATATTCTGACCAGTATCTTTGTACTGTTGCTTATTGGCATATCCTTGTTCTTTTTCGCATTCAGTTTAGTCTGACAGTCTGGCTTTCATTCCAATCTTACAACCCAGCTTAATATTACTGGGTTATCGCAGACTTTTACATGAACTGAAAACGATACCTGCTCTTCGATACATACCAAAGAAAAAATATCTGTACTTTTAATATATAAA